CTTTCCTCCTCAAATACATCAACTCTGTTTCACGGATGCTCCAACTTTCTTTAAAGGCCAGCTCTCCGGATGGCTTGTTACCACTTATTTCTTCCCCGACCTCTGAACCATTCTGCAAGGTTACCTATGACTCTGCAAATCAAGCTTTTTTTCTTTAAGAGGTAGATAGATATTCAGTTCTTTCATAAGATGAAGGCTTCTTCAAGGAAGAAGGGAAGGGATTCCATATAACTGCTGATATCATCGAGGTAAAGAAAGCTGCTTTTCCTAACCACCCATAAAAAAAATTTAGCTTTTTGTATTTCTGCCTCTCTAGAAAGTCTAATCCCTCCCCACTGTGAGTATGACAGACTCCAAGGTATTGAAATCTGTACTCTAATTGTGAATTCATTGAACAAGACTTCAGTGACTGAACTTTTTTAGCCATTTTATCTAAAATGAAAAAGAATCTGGTCCTTATTTCAATCTCCTATCTAATTGCTCCTGAACAGTAGTTCAGAATTGAAGAGAGTCAAAACAGTGTGCAGTCTGGCTTTTCACCTAAGGCATACTTAACCAAAGTATATGTCTTGCACTCATTTCTGAGAGGCCCTACTCAAAATGTAAATCCTGGGACCTTTTGGGAATGTTTACTCAGCTTCCTATCTGAAGATCTTTCAATGCTAACATCTGAATTCAGAATTACGTACTTAAATTTGCCTTTGTATTGTCTTTTCTATTTTTCTCTCATCTTGCAATAAAGTAGACCACCCAGATTAGTGTTATTTCCCTGAAAGTCATTTTTGTGATTTGGTTTGTGTTAGTAAGAACAAAATATTAATCTGCTCAGGTTTGCTTAGTAATTACATTAGCTGTGTCATTTTTTCCATCATTTCTCAGGTTTCACTTCTCGTTGTTGTCTTCTAGAGTTCATCAGTGGGTTTCCAAATAATTGGTGAAGGAACAAAACCAGTTTCATAGTCATTTAAAGTTACATGGAGTGTTTACACAGGTCTTTCCTTGGGGACTTATAAATATGAAGTAGTCAAGGCAATGTGACTCAGTTTCATGATACTGTGAGGGGATGGTTCCTTCAGGATTTGTGAATACTTCTTTTTTATTTTTCTGGTTTTTGTACACTGACATATATTTCATCTTCTAAATTACAGACATTCCACTAAAATAAACTTTAGGAGGAAGGTTGCTGGAAGGGGAGGAGGATCCAGTTGTTATTTTTACAGTGACTTTCAGGATGATACAGGATGCTAGCTTAAGTGTGGGACTAGACTTTTTTTAGCCCCTTATGTCCATTGAATAATGCTGTCCTTTATCCTGTTTTTATTTGGTCTCCCAAAACAAGAACTATATCAAAACAATAGGACAACCTAGACACTTCTCCTCAGGGAACTTTCTATCACCTCCTTGATTGGAAGCTTTGTCTAAATGGCTTGTCTGTCCTGTCCTTGTCCTGTTTAGTTTGGAGGGACTGTTTGGGTGGTTCATTTTAATAGTTTTTCAGATGCATATTGGCTTGATTTCACTGCTAGAGATGAGAGAGAATAAGAGACAGAAATAAGAAGTTCTGTCAACATTTTTATAAAAAAGGAAAGAAAGCATATTGAGCCCAATTTGAACTGTGTTTGTTCATTCCGAGCCATGTCTGGAGTACATAAAGAGAGACCTTCCCTGACCACTGTTTCTAAAGCATTTCCTATTTGTGTCCTTACTATTATTTATTCCCTTTGTTGTCATTGTTCAGTCGCTAAGTCATGTCCGACTCTTTGCGACCCCAGGGACTGCAGCATGCCAGGCTTCTCTGTCCTTCACTACCTCCCGGAGTTTGCTCAAACTCATGTCCATTGAGTATGTGATGTCACTCAACCATCTCATTCTCTGTCACCCCCTTCTCCTGCCCTCAATCTTTCCCAGCAGTGAGTCAGCTCTTCACATTAGGTGGCCAAAGTATTGGAGCTTCAGCTTCAGCATCAGTCCTTCCAATGAATATTCAGGGTTGCTTTCCTTTGGGATTGACTGGTTTGATCTCCTTGCCCTCCAATGGACTCTCAAGAGTCTTCTCCAGCCCCACAGTTCAAAAGCATCCATTCTTTGGCACTCATTTTCAGCTGTACCTAATCCTAGACTATAAATTTCCTGAAGGTAGGGACTGTGTCTTAAACCCTTGGCCCAATGTCTGACACAGGGGACACAGAGGAGGTGCTCAAGAAGTATTTGTTGAAAAATGAATGAATCATCAGATTTGCCTGTTAGAGAGACATTTCTGGCTGCAGTGTGGGAAGCAGACTAGAGGAGAAGCCAAGACTGATGATGTAGACCGTAGGAGGCTGTCCCATCGTGCTGGTGAGAAGTGTGAAGAGCCAGTGCCACAGTCAAGAGGGAGAGGTGGAGATACGCATGGAGTGGAATCAGGGGGGGATTCGTTGCATGTGGGTGTTTGCAAGAGGCGAGAGTCAGGGATGACATAAACATAGAAAAGGAGATGAACGGTGGATGGCTCGTTGAAGTAGGGAATTCAAAGAATAGGAACAGATTTTTGGAGAGAAGGAGAGGAACTCGACTTTGGACATGTTGGGTCTAAGCATACCTGTAGGCTGTCTGGATAGAAATATCTAATAAATATTTTGATTTATGTTTTTGGAACCCAGGAGAGAGATCTTGGCAAAAGTTAAAGATTTGAGAGTCATTGGCCTATAGATTCATTCATGCACTCATTCAACAAATATGCACTTGCTAACTGCTTTGTCCCAGGTGTTGAACACAATGATGAACCAAGCAAATATTTTTCTAGTTTTCACACATATCACAGTCAAGCCTGGAAGCTGGTAGCATGGAAATAAAATAACACAGGGAATATATAATAAGTAGAGGTGAGCACAAATGCCGGAGAACACCAACATTTAAGAGGTGGACAAAAGAAAAAGAGAAGGATGATGGTTTGAATGGATGAATGCTTGGGCTTCCCCCTCCCAAGTCCTTGCGCTAATCTAAACTAAGTTTTCAAAATACATTGGTTGCTTTTTCTGGAGGCAGGATTAAAGTATGTTCACATTCACTCTGCTTAGAAATTCATGTTAAGTCGTCCTTAAAATAAGGAATTTCACAGGTTGGAACTGAAACAAGTATCAGCCCGCAAGCAAGTGACACAGAGAGAGATGAACAGGAGCTGGAGATAAACCCAGATTTTCGCATTCAGCTCTGAATTTCCTTCCGATTGTTAGATGGGTCTTAAGGCAAACTTAATGCAGGTTGTGGTTGGATTTCCTTTGTTATGGGCTGTGGGGTAAATGTGATGTTCACACTGTCACAGTAGAAAGAGATATTATGCTCTGTTTTGCCAGGACTTTGTTGGAGTTTTACTTATTTATTTATTTTTATGTCTCGGTTCTTTTAACCCAAGAGGCAGCAACATCTCAGGCACCTACCAAGTAAAAGTCGACCGAATACCTGGGTGTGGGTTGTTTTAAGAAGTGAAATTTCTTAGTCACTTCTTCAAATGAATTTTGTCTTTTTTTAAAAAAAATGGTGGTGTATACATGTGTTTCTTTTTTTAATTAATATAAATGGCATAAACATTACGTGAGTTTCAAGTGTACAAGGCAATAATTCAGTTTATGATTATATGAAATGGCCACCACGATAAAGTGTAGTTAACATCCATCCCCACATGTGGTGCCATTTTATTTTTATAAAGCAAAGTATGATTATTGCATATTCTAAAAGTTAGAACCACTTCATCTAAAATATCATAGATTGTGTGTTTGATGTAAGAATTAACTGAATATTGTCTTTTAATTCTCAGTCAAAACATCTTTCTTATGCAAAAGTCCAATTTAACCAACAGAAAAAGAATAATTTGTAGATCCATTTATAATTCTCCAAAGCTTGGTGATTTCTTTTTGCATGTGTTTCTGTGTACGATAGTTAACAAATTTATTGGTGCATAGACAGGTAAACTTGCTTCCTTTTAGTAGTGGGCAAAATCTAACTTTTATGACTAACATAAACCATATTTATGGATTATTTATTACACATTTAGACTAGTCCATTTTCTTACATTGTGTTTCTTAAAGGTATGTTTCTTATTTTAAAGAATAGTTATTAAAAAAAAAAAAACCCTTCTACCAACTACTCCTTGACCCTATTTTTAAAACAGATTAACACTAGTTCTATAGACAGAGCTCTCAACTAGATTCCACCTGTGATACTCACAATCAGAAAACTTTAGAGGCAGAGAGGGAAATGACATGCAGAAATTATGTATTTCTTGCCATTTATAAATATGTTCCCAAATATACCATAAAAATAAATAAGCAGTGGATAATTAGATGTAATATCAGATATCTTAAGGGAAATTAATTATATCCAGCAAAAATAAAGCAGATGCAAAATTCAGAGATTAAGTCATTTTGAACTGTTGATTACCTTTTTAGAAAGTTTTATTTGTGCTAAAAGAATTTGTGTTTATGGTTCAAGGTTTGGGGCTTGTTCTTTGCGGGCTGGCTTTCTAAAGAGTCACTCTGGTGCCTCTTGAAGTGAAGGGAACAGCTTTAAATCTTGTTTGGTTTGAATGAATGGATAGCTAATCCCGATCAGATGTCTCTTTAGAGAATAATGTTTAAAAACTGTTATGGAATTTAGCTATCCTAGCTGATTCTTAGGTAGGGTGTTTTCATCCCAGTTGTGAAGGTCTCAGAGGTCAGCCAAGGTAACCATTTATTTAAATCATCTTTTGTTTCAGATTTCCTGTTGAACTCTCTTTTTTTAACCATTTCAAAAATCACCCAGTTGTGTCATAGCTTTCCATAACCCCTAGATTCAAAGATTCAAACCAAAAAACCATCTACATAACTAAATGACTGTACCCTCCCACATATCTCTAACTAGAACAGAATATGAAATTAGACTTCACATTTTCTAATCACAATGAAACTAATATTTGGAATTCTCTCGTCAAATGTCTTCTATTTATGACACTTCTGTTTCTTTTGTTTTTGTCTCCCCAGGACATTTGGGCTTCCAGGACAGTTTTGTCACATCAGGTGTTTTTAGTGTGACTGAGCTAGTAAGAGTGTCACAGAGTAAGTATAATTTTGCTTTGATTTGACACAGTTTTGCCTTGTGTTTTTGCTTATCTTTTGCCTCCTAAAGACATAAATCGCTTTCAGAATCTCCTTTTCATACACCCATTGGAAGCATTTTGCCATGTAGTCTGTTTGACAGCCAAGAATTTAAGTCAGGAAAAATTAAATATTTTAATGTGAGACATAGAGAAAGAACTGAAATCCTGAGTGTCTCAGGTATTTCCTAGCTTATAGTGTGAACCTGGTTTAAAGAAGTTCTGAAGCTTCTGGATTTCTAAGAAATTCTGCATTTTAAAAGAATTTGGTTTTGACCTTTAAAAGGATGCTAATGCCTTTAGCGTGAGTGACACCCCGCAGCATGATCATTACCAGCTTGTCAATAATCACCAACAACAGTGAATTAAAAGTACCTGTCACCACCCTGTTCCATTGATCAAAGGGTTATTGACTGTATTTGGCTATGATGTAATCCAGACAGTCCAAGAGAAGGTATAGGATTCTCTCCCAGTCCCTGTACCCCGCCACACAGACACACACACACACACACACTGTTGCCATCCCACAAAGACTTCTCTTTGTTTTTATTTAAAAGTATACCTACAGTACCCTTGAAACTGACGTAGTATCATACATCAACTATACTTCAAAAACCTAATAATAATTTTCATCATATTTCAGCTAACTTTGCAGGCCTGGAAAAGATCATATAGGCCTTAGGCATTGTGCCTATGGTGCTTAATGGTTTAAAATAAAAGAAAAGTTTCTGGCTAACCTTAAAAAGAACACATATCTACACTGACTGTGGTGTTCTACGTCCCAATACTAAAGGAAAAGATACCGAATATTTAAATTTTATTTTTTATCCCCTTTCTACTTTAAAATACCACTTGTAGATAAAATTTGCATTGTTGAAGTTGGTTTCAAGCTGCATCAAATTCTTTGAGGAATGAGGTGGAGTGAAAATAAATATTTTTATTTCAAGTTCATACTCTCCATTCGCTGTATTACAGTCTTGCAAGCTTGACTGAGTAAGCAAGTCAGTCTCATGACAAGATGTCAGATCAAGCAAGGCAAGCTATCCTGATTCTCACAAGCTCAGGTTCTGTCTGTTCTTATTTCTTAAAAGTCCAGAAAGTGGGATACAAGGTATGGGCAGGGAATACAGGGGTAGAGGGAAAGAGAATCTGTCTGCTAAGCATAGGTTTTCATGTATGTTACATAAACTTAATCCTTGCAATAAACATGTCAGTTAAGATATTACTCTCATTTTTACACATGAGTTAAATTAAGGATCTAGTTAAATCATTTATCCAAAGTCAAACAAGTGGGCAAAAGGTTAAATCTGTGTAGTGCTAGAATCTGTACTTTTAGACTAACCCAAAGGAACTTGAAGAAATCTGCAGCCTGAGATTAGACAGGGAAACAGCAAGAAGGTAACCATGGTTAGTGTTAGAATTCTAGCACCAGGAGTCCTTGGTTAATGCTGGAATGTTCTGGTGTAGGGATGTTAAGCCTAGAGAATGAAGCATTGTGAGCAGCAAGTTTATGACTTGGAATGGAGAAGTTGCTGCCATATTATGAAGTGTTCTAGGAGTACCAATAGCGAGCTGGAGGCGAGATTTTCTTGTTAACTTGGAAAGTATATTGCTGCCACAGCACAGCTGATTAGCCATTGACAAATGATAATGCATTCAAATGTATATTTTTTACTTTTTAAGATTTTTAAAAGGTGATCATCATCCTACTTTTTTCTTATAATTTTAGTAGCAATATAGAGTATATGTATAACTGTCCTAATGGCATTACTGGGATATACATTCATTCATAGATCCCTTACAGGATATCACCTTAGCCTTAATGAGTAAAGAAAACCCTTTTAAGATTGGTGCCCAAGACCTTCTGTAGTCTAGCCTGGCTGCTGTGCCTCCTTTGAAGTCTTCATTACTGTCCGTGTCCTCAGACCTAGGCCTTTGTAGGCCAAGGCCCACACTGCTCACCATCCTCAGAATCGCAGCCTTCTTCCACGGTGTCTGTGTCCTTTAAGGTCTTACATCCCGAGGCTTCTCAGGGCCCATCTTGACTAGACTTCCATTCAGTCTGCCCCACACAGTTGCCAAGGAAATTCTCAACCTGCCTTCAGGATTGCCAGGGGTTGTGGTTGGTCCTCACACTGAATCTGCGAAGGACCTGGCTTGTTTCATGTCCCTGTGTAGAGGGCGGTGTTGCTGATGCCTGGCATCCTGAGCGTCCTTCGGCTCCCAAATGCTTTGCGATTCTGCACTCTGCTGTGTAATCGCTCTAGGATTCACTCACACATGGCCTCATGCTGACTGAAACTGTTTGGCAAGAGTGGGACTGGGCTGTGTCAGCGAAACTGTGGCTTCAGGCCAAAGTGCCATGCAGAGCCCCCTCCCTCCCACAGATCTGTAATCCAGGTTTGTCAGGGTCTGTGTCTCAAGATTGCCTTGGCTGCTGGGGGAAGGATCCCCAGCTCATGCTTCCTCACCCACACACTGTTCTGAAAGACTAAACATTCAGGTTACATGATGGAGTCAACATCCTTGGCCGTTCCTTACAGTGTTGCCCCCTTCCCCATGGTAGAGATGCTAAGCATCCATTTAAATGCTGCAGTGGACACTTTTTCCTGATAAGTGGGGCTGGGGTACATTTGCAACCCTGAGATGGAGATAAGCTAACTGGCATGTAAGTTGATTTCATGCATGATGTTAGTCCTGTAAGGAGCATGATGCTAAACTAATATGAAAAATTATAGTAGCTAGAGTTTATCAAGTACCAAGTACCAGGCCTTGTGCTAGACATCATTCAGTCCTCCCATGGTTGCTGTCATTGTCCCTTTTTATAGATGAAGAAATCAATGATGCTCAAAGTTCAGACATTTGCTCTTTTCATTTTTCTGTACTCAACTGCCTGCAGACACTTTAGTCATGACCTCTCCTATAACCAACTGCAGGGCTTCCCTGGTGGCTCAGTGGTGAGGAATCCACCTGCCAATGCAGGAGACCCAGGTTAGATCCCTGGGTTGGGAAGATTCCCTGGAGAAGGGAATGGCAACCCACTGCAGTATTCTTGCCTGGAAAATTCCATGGGCAGAGGAGCCTGGTAGGCTACAGTCTGTGGGGTCGCAAAGAGTCAGACACGACTCAGCAACTAACACACACACTCCTATAACTATTATAGAAGCAAACAATCCAAAGATTCTGTACTTTTACTAAATTATGATTTGTTGTTAGAGTTGATAAACTTTTCAATTATTAATTTGTGCATTAAAAAATTAAAATGATTTCCAGGTAGACCAAAACAGGTTAAGTACTTAATTACACTTTTTTTTCTGGATTTGCTTTCAGGTGTGATTTTTTCCTTTTTTATGAATAGACTTTAGAGAAGTTTAAGTTTATAGTTTTAGATTAACAGAACATAAAGAATTTCAATATGGCTTCCTCTCCAATTTCCTCTCTTATTAACATCTTTTGTTAGTGTGGTACATTCATTTTAATTGATGAGCTGATACTGATATATTATTATTAACTCAAGTTTGCAGTTTATGTTAGGGTTCTTTCTTTGTGTTTTACATTCTATGTGTTTTGACAAATGCATCCATTATTACAGAACAGTCTCACTTCCTTACAAATCACCTGTGCGTCCTACTTCCCCAACCAGGGATCCTTTTGTTTTGCCTTTACCTGGATGTAAAAGGTAAAAATTTCTAATGTCCTCACTATCTTAGAATTTCTTCCACTGTGTTGCACAGTTCTTATCTTCCTCCTGTCTATCCCAGCCCCACCCAGTCCCCCCAATCACCACTAACTGTAACCACATATGTGGTCCAGAACATTCACACTGATGGTAGCCTTAGCTTGAAAAATTTTCCTCTTTCTGCATCTTTTGAATTTAATTTTTAAATTTGCTAAACAAATATTAACATTCCCCAGGTTTCCAGTTAGTTTCTGTTTTTAGTTTTCCTCCTTTTAAACTTAATAGAGGAGGGAGATGCTATTTCAGTGTTTCCTCATGAGGATTCACTGAAATAACTATGTGCTAAGTTTGTTGATTATAATCATGTTACTACAGGGTGGTAGTGGCAGAGAAACTCAAGGAAAGGCTGCCAGCTTAGCCTTGCACATTCAGAGATAAGGGTCAAGTGTCAAGGTTGCTCGACATTTAATTATCCTTCTCACTTGCACACACCTGTTGGAATCAGAGGCTCCTGCTGCTGTCTCCCAGCAAGTCCCCTCTTACCTTACCCCCTCCTTGTGTGTGTGTGTGTGTGTTAGTTGCTCAGTCGTGTCTGACTCATTGTGACCCCATGGACTGTAGCTCAGCAGGCTCCTCCGTCCATGCGATTCTCCAGGCAAGAATACAGAAGCTGGTAGCCATTTCCCTCTCCAGGGGATCTTCCTGATCAAAGGATTGAACTCAGGTCTCCTGCATTGCAGGCAGATTCTATATCATCCAAGCTACAAGGGAAGCCTGCCCCCTGTGTACCTACCTTTTAATTTTTTGCATCATCCGGAGTCCGTGAAAGGCAAGAAAGGATAGTTCTGTTTCTCTTAGCAGCAAAGCAAGTTCTGTAGCATAAAAGTAAATGTACATTCATTCTTTTTCCTCCCTGTGTTCGGCCCATCTGAAAGTAGTTCTGGTTATTTATTACTCTGCTCTGGGGGAGGGAGGCTGGAATACAGACCACTAGACACATTGCCAGAGAGAAGGGAGAAGTCTTCCCTGCTCTGGGGGAGGGGGTTTACAAGTGCTAACAATGAGGTTCAGAATCACTGAAGTTGTTTTAGCATAATACTGTGAGGAAAGAGACAGGAACCATCTGTTGAAATGGCTCTGACATGATGCTGCATTTTCAAACAAAGCCTTCTAGAAGCATTTTCAGATGGGTCTGTCTCCCATGAAGTTGCTAGCCTTCTAGAAGCATTTTCAGATGGGTCTGTCTCCCATGAAGTTGCTACAAAGAGAGCCCACTCCACTGG